TTCGATGATGTATTCCGTTGGTTAATAAAATGGAAAATTTAAATTACGCATTCTTCCGACGAGAGACCCGCCACATTCGATATCATCATTCCATTAAATAATACGTACGGAATCAGAGAGTGAGAGAAAGAGAGAGAGAGAGAGAGAGAGAACGGGAAAGAGGGATCGCGTGATTGCATTACCATCAATACATTATTATACGAACAAATACGCGTTTATTCGACGGACAAAATCGAAATGATCACGACGTATCCGGACAAATAAAATATTGCACTGTATACGCGACGGGCGAGCGCTCATTGCCGGCTGACATCGAGTCAATTTTGTACGGATCGCTGCGGAGTACGCACAATGGCAAAAACGGCACGTGCGGCCTCAAGACTTCCGATCAATTAACTCCACTTTCAATTCGTGGCGCGATTAGGGACGCGCCGTGCTCTTACTTGTTAGCCGTGTAACCACCTCCCCATTTTTTCTGTCTCCCCCTCCCCTCCCGGCGCGCGAACACGCCACCCTCTTAGCGCCCCTTTAGAAAAAGAGGATCGAAGCATATTGACGGCCGATGGCGTTCGACCGTGGCACGATACACGGTTACAAGAGTGCTCGAGGGATGCGAGAGTAAATATTAAAGGGCGCCGGAGTCATCGGGCCGATAATGATTGTCGCCAAGTATACATATAGCTCGTACCTGATGACTGTCGAGGAGACGAGGATTCGACAGCCCTGGGAAACACTTCAGAATTCGTCCGTGGCTATTCGGAGAACACCTCTCGAAAATACGTCAAGAAAAAATAACACGAGAACCTCCCATTGAGTTATTTCATGATTAGAGAACGATCAAATTTGAAGAATATATATTTACTTGTTCGGTTATCGAATATCGATACCGCTCGAGAAAGATGTTTATTCAAAAGATAATGCGACGGTGTTTTCTGCACAATATTATCTCACCGTTTCAGATTTACTTGGTATTACAGGTGAAGAATATTGTTACTAAAAATATACTCGGACACTCCATGTCGAAAGCAAAGAGTGTCGGGACGTTGATACTGTAAAGTACCTAAATATCTTATCCAAGATTCTTGATGGGAAAGAATCATTTATGGCAAGCGGCATCGCAAAGTCAATTAGCTGCAGCTATCGTAAATTACAAAAAGATGTAAGTACGACGGGAT